CGCTCGAACGACAGCTCGCACTGCGTTTACGCAGTGCGAGCTTTACGGCTCGCACTGCGTAAACGAGCCGTAAAGGCTCGTTTACGCAGTGCGACGCAGCTGCGTCGACTGCGTTGCGCAGCGTTGCGTCGTGCAGCACAAAGCCTCCCCATTGCCACGCCGTAAAGGTCGCCATAGCAACAGCTCCATGCAAGCGGTTTTAACGCAGTCAAACGCAACTGTGTGAACAAGCCTAAAGGCTCGTTTACACAGACCTAGGGTGCCTTCATGTGCGCTTTGCTTAGGGTGGAGGCATCTGGCCATTTTGTCTCACACTTTTATTTTTATTTTTTGTTCAGAAGCGCGTGAAAGAGCGTGTCCCTGCACGCGCTCGTGGCGCTGACTGTGCTACGGCGACATTTTGTTTTCGTCGATTTCTTTGTATTTTACCCGTGAGTGCGTGCTGTCGGCATCGGGTACTACAAAGGGTGGCATCACCCTAAACAGAAGGACATTGAGGCACCCTACACAGACCCGTTTTCTTACGTTACGTTACAAAAAGTCACCGGGAAATCTGTGGTTCGTATTAAGCGTGGCTACCAATTCAAGCGGAGAGCCTGGCACGCGACATTCGAGACACGAATGGTTCGATGACTAAGACGTAACGTAAGAAAACGGTGCTGTGTGAAAAGTTAAACCGAGCTCAACTCCTGACGTTACGTATACGACGAGCCTTGTGTCCTTGGTTGCCACGGTAACTCACCGTCCTAGCTCGTCGTCACCGAGACATTTGTGTCTAGAATGTCGCGTGCCAGGCTATCTCCTTGAATTGGCAGCCACGCTTAATACAAAGCACAGATTTCCCGGGGACTTTTCGTAACGTAACGTATGAAAACGGGTCTGTGTGAACGAGCCTTAAAGGGAAGGACACCATTTGACTCGGAGCCAACGGAGATGCCGGTGGTTGGCCTAGTTTCTTTTGCAATAACGCAAAGAGACTGCTCGGGACAAAGACCACTTCCTACCTGTTGAGGATACCTATTTATTCATGCGTACGCTGTGAACACAGAGTGCTATTGTGCGTAGGAGACGTTATATCTGCGCGCGCACGTGAGTGCCGGTTTTAGTTTGTTGGTAATTTAGTTTTCAAGACAAGACTCCAAATGGAAGACAAAAGCTTACTTTCGACAGACCACTCACACAGGTAACACTGTGTATGGGCGAACCGAGATGGGTACAGAAAATAGAAACGTTAAGCCATTCAGTCTTTCACCACGTTATGTCTTCTCGGCGAGTAGCCGGATATAGGAGGGACGGCTATGTGAAGTCGAAGTGCAGGTCTCGAGTGCATACGTGGCTTGCACGGTTTGTCATCGCACCCCGTGGGTGGTCATGTCTACTTGTTTTTACCGAGAAAAACAAATGTGATGGTGAGAAAGTTTGGCTGCAGAAGGCACACGCTCAACAGCTAGGCCACCGCAATAAGGAGTATTCACTGGGTGCCATATTTGTGGGTGCTGTTTAGAGCGCATGCTCAGAACGAACCCACATTAATAGGCTGCTAAGTCCGGCAATCTTGAGGGTGCGGAATGCACGTTGCAAAAGAACTGTGGAAGCTCGCCATCAGCACGCGCTCAGCAGTCGTGCACACAGCTATGGCCGGTGAATACTTCCTATTAGCGGCGAGATGTTTTGGTGGCGCCCTCCTATGGTTCCCCCTTGTTACGTCATTACCTTGCAAAGAACAAGTTCGATGGTGTTTTTAAATAGCATGGTGGAAGCTTGAAATCTTTGCATTCTGAAAGCAACACTGCCAACACCGTCAAAATTAAAGTTCTTTCATTCCTCTTAGTTCCGTCGATGATAAATCCCCTTTCCTACGTCATAGTCAGCGTTCGGCCAATCGTGGAAGGCCGACCACAGCGACGCTTTCGGTCGCGCACGGGGCTAATAGCCGCTGAAATGACATTGCTGCAAGCCATGTATTCTTTTTCGCCAATAATTCAACGTGAAACCTTCTTTGGCTTGTGTTCAGCATTTCGTGAAGCCTGATATGCGTGGCCGAGAAGCTCGATGCTGATTGGTTGACGGGGAGGTCATGTGACAAGGGGGTAGGTGAGGAGGAGTGAGGTAGGCGAGAAGGAGCTTGAGAGCATAGAAAGCTCTGGAAGATTGTCAGGTCTATCAGTCCTTTATACGTGAAACTCAGAGCATGGCCTCCGAGATTTTTCGCGTGCTGGCTGCGCTACTCAGGCCGTTGCATTCGCCAGTGGAGACTGTTACTGGGGGGCGTTTGGTAACGCTCGCACCCAAATCAAACAATACAAAGAAATATCCGCGAATTATCATCCTCATTACCATTATCGTCGGTCTACGGAACTTGGGAGCAGCGCGAATGTGCTCTCCGCTTCTCGCCGCAACACGCAGACATTTGGCAAGGAACAAGTTGATCGAAATTCGAAGGTTCATCGTTTCACAGCGCGAAAGGTGTAGAACAAAATGTACGTGCACGTAAATGAAGTTCAGAAAGCTTTTCTCATGCGTGACGACAAAAAATATTTCTACGCCTGTTCCGCCAGCCCAGACAGTATCCGCAATATAGATTCGCACTAAATCTTGCATTCTGAGGTATCATCCGGCGAAACAGCACAAGGAGCATATAAAAATTACGAATCAACAGAGATCTAGTCTTACCTTCTCTATTCTGATGATGAGAACAATGAAGATGCAAGCTTCATGCTGCGGGCTCACACTTGACAGTGTGATTTCAGGCGATTCGGTTTCCATTTCTGGTTTGATTGTAAGCGCCGCATGCGGAGGTCTAGAGAACTGACTCGGCTCGCTTTTTTTTTTTGCTGGGCAGCCGAGCGTTTAGAAAGGCCGGAGGAGAGCGCGCGAAAAATCTAGGAGGCCATGCTCAGAGTATATCGCTAAACATCTGTGATGCTACAACATTTCACTTATGCAGCCACAATTGTCTAGTAATTTACCATAAATTGTCGTCCGACTACAGTGTTACGGATAAAAGAGTGGCGAATTATGTGCTTGGCGGGACACTTACCGCTAATATATTGTTAAGAAATAAGCGCGCGCCCCACGCAACAAGGCGAAAAAAAAAAACTACTCTCCGTTTTAATTGTGGAACGGATTGAAGGCTGCGGACACCAAACCAGTGCTCTCGACCAGTATCATAGGCCACGCGCTAGAAACAGAAGCTCTACATTATTCGTACACCTATGGCTGTACCCCGTTCTCTATCACAAGTGTGGACGCATGCTCTTCCCTTGCTTTTAAAGTACGAGGGATTTGTCGCATAATGTATAGGAAACAATCAACGGACTATGACATGCTACGTCCTCCCTACTGACTGCGACTTTCAGACACAGGGGGGTTACTATATGTCGGGTCTACTGTACCTGAGCGTTGTGACAACAGGTGATTTTGTCAGGCAACGTTTCTTTCTTTTTTTCTATTTTTTTTTTCTATTGAGTACATAAAGGTGCGTGAGTTCCTAGCTCTGCCGCCCGGTGCTTCGGTGCCATTTTTGTTAGATTTCATTTGTTTTTGTATTGCTTCGGTTTCTTCGTGGTGGCATACTGCTGCCATCGAATACCATGGCGAGGCCATTATACTTCGTTTGAGCTGAAGTCCAGACGTAAACCACGCTACGAGGTGATTGGACCAATCAAGCAGCGTCAAAAGCGAAAGTCACTAAACCTTTTATGTTTATGATTGGTTCAGTGATAATAGAACACGTACGGGAACATTTTTGTTGTTGTTTATTGCCCAGAGGAAAGGCCCGCAGGCCTAAGTGGGAAAGGAATTAAAGGAAAGCGGGGAGGCCGGCGGTATGGACGAAGTCTAGAACGCTTCGAGTGCAGGCGTTGTTGGTCGTCCAGGTCTTGTAGGCCTCCGGATCGTCCCACCGTATCCCCGCCTGGAGGACGTAGTGCTCCCGGTCCGCCGGTATCACCAGGCAGGTCCAGATGAGATGGCGAACATCAACCTGGTCCGCCGGAGCGGGGCAGTGGGGGCAGGCGGGAGGGATGCGGCTGTGGTCCCCTCGCCAGGATGAGAGGACTGCCGGTGCATCCAGTGCGAATGCGCCGGAGCAACACCTCCTGGAGCCGGGAGGTGTTGCTCCGGGCGTCCTGGAGCCGGGAGAAGTTGCTCCAAGCGTCCCCAGGATTTTTGGCGATTGGTTAAAAAACATACTCGAGATAGGTCGAGTCCTGCTTCACTTATGATTGACGGAGCATATTCTTCTGATCCTGATAAGATATGCAATCAATTCGCAAAGTTTTTCCTGTCCACCTATTCATCAGTCAGTGTCGAAAACACAGAGATTTTACTAACTACTCATAACCATTTTCCTCCTCCGACAATTGACCTTGCCGACGTTCTTTGGGCAATTCATCAGCTCCCATCTAAAAAATCTTGTGGCCTTGATGGCATACCGAATTTTATAGTTAAGGGGTGTGTCGACATACTGGCTCCCATTCTACACCACATATTTTCTATGTCGCTGAAGCAGTCTATCTTTCCGACCGCCTGGAAAAAGGGCTTGGTAATCCTTCTTCCTAAATCAGGCACCTCAACAAATATCACAAACTATAGACCGATATCATTGCTTTCCGCATTTTCAAAGGTATTCGAAAAAATCATTCATAAGCATCTAACACACTGGTTTAAGCGCTTACTACCCGAAGTTCAACATGGTTTTTTGAGCGGCAGGTCTGTTGAAACAAATCTTGCGTGTTTTTTTAAATGATGTTGCCCCCAGAGTCTGTTCTCGAGAGCAAGTTGACGCAGTGTATTTTGATTGTAGCAAGGCATTCGATCGTGTAAACCACAAGTTACTGTTACACAAACTTTCTGTTTCTGGTCTCAGCGACGAGTACTGTTCTTGGTTTGAAAGTTATCTTTCTGTAAGAGAAAACTGTGTCGGCTACGCAAATGTTAGGTCTTGTTTTTTTCCTGTGCCATCTGGTGTACCCCAGGGTTCCAATCTGGGACCTCTTCTTTTTAATATATTTGTTAAAGATGTCCAAGACATCATTCGCCATTCGAGCCTCTTGCAGTTCGCTGATGACCTCAAGATCTATAAAAATATTTCGTCATTAAATGATTGTGCTCTACTGCAGGAAGATATCAACGCCATCTGTCTATGGTGTAAAGATAACGGGCTTGATCTTAACATTGGAAAAAGAAATGTAATATCTTTCACGCGTAAGACTAATCCAACTCACTTTCTCTACTACTTAGAAAATTCGTCGATTACTCGAGTTACGATTGTGAAAGATCTGGGAGTGATGCTAGACTCCAAACTCAACTTTAACTCGCACGCGACATACGTTGTGAGCTCTTGTTTTCGTCTTCTCGGTTCAATTTCAAGATTTAGTAAGTGTTTTTCAAGTGTTTACCTTTTTTACGTACTTTACCCAATCATAGTTCTTCCAAAACATGACTTCTGCACTGTGATTTGGAACAGCCTTAGTGCTACAGCTTCCAATAATGTGGAACGCGTACAGAAAAGATTTGCCAGAACTTATCATTTGAGATCCCCATCACGCGATCTATATGATTACAACGAAGTGCTTAGACAATTGCAAATCACTAACCTTGCATCAAGACGATGCTCGCGCGACCTTTTATTCTTGTTTAAATGCATAGATTCTAATCACGATATTAGCTCTCTGGTCACATCTATTAACTATCATATACCCGATAGAAATGTTCGTTCTAGTCGCACTTTCCATGTCAATTACAGCGATTTCACGTCACCCTCGGGCCGACTGCAAAACTACTTCAATCATCTGGAATCAGATGGCATTGACATTTTTAACCCTAACCAACATCATTTTAGGAAGTGCTTGCTTCATGTACTGAAATAATGTTCATGCTTTGCAACTATTCAATTCCTGTGTTTTTCCTTTAGAGGTGTGTGAGGCGACCATACTTTTCTTGTTTGTCTTTATATGCTATCTGAAATGTTACTAACAAGTGCACCAATGTATAGGCTTTGGCTGTTTTTGGGCACTCAAAATAAACAAACAAACAAACAAACAGACCAGGGGGAACCCGGGCGGTGCACGGTGGTATGAGAGCTCGCGTGCTTGCCCGGATCCTGGTCTTAGTGGCCAGAAGTGTCGCCACGATGTCCATGGGGAGGGTGTGGCTCTGCAGGTCCTCTGATTGGGCTGCCCGTTTGGCCGCCTCATGAGCCGCTATGTTGCCCTCTGCAGGGCCGTGGCCTTGCACCCAGTCGATGACGACCATGCCCGCGAAATGGTGTCGTAAACGATGGATCTTTTGAACAATGTTCATGGCTTGTTTGGTCTGTTTCAGGTGCCTAATGGCCTGAGCGGAGTCAGTGAAGATGGTCACTTGATCAATGGAGTGATCTTTGGAGGCTGCGAGAAGGGCTTCATAGATGGCTTGTAGCTCAAGCAGCAAAGGAGATGCGTCCGATGTAGCAAACTTCTTCTGGTCGTCAAGGTGGGGATGAGTGCGACTGACGAATGCAGTAGCTCCTCCGTTTTGCGTACATGCAGCGTCCGTGTACAGGATACAGTGATCCGGAGAAGAAGGGTTTGGATTGTGGGCCTTGGGATTTTGACGTGCCTTACGGCGGGAGGTCTTATTGGTGGTAAGGCAGGAGAAACTCCAGGGGGGAAGCTGCTGTATCTTCTCAATGTATGACGTTTTCTTATGACATTCTGAAGCGTACAGTTGATGTTTGGCAACCCGGGCTCGTGTGCGTTGATCACATAATTGTCGTAGTGTATTCAGGTGAGCATGCTCCTGTAACAGCTTAATAGGCGTATGCATCGGGAGGCCGGTAATGCTGCGCATCGCTGCCCGGTTGACAGTTTCCAACGAGTTCCATTGCGTCTCTGTCAGGTTCTGAAATTGTGCTTGGTAGATTACCCTAGGCTGTAAAATGGCCTTCACGAAGCACGTGGCAATCGCAGAACAAGCACCTCCACGTCTCTGGGAGATGCGGTTGATAAGGTGGAGCATAGAGTGGGCTGATTTCTTTATGGATACGAGCCACTCTTTGGCACTGCCGGTCTTGTGGATTTGGAGGCCAAGAATTCTCATAGTTTCAACTTTGGGGAGTGTTTGTTGACCCACCTTCAGATCGAGGTCGTCTGTCCCTAGCTTCTTGCGGGCAGCATTATTGCAGACGCGCATGTAGCAAGATTTAGATGGGGATAATTCCAGGCCAATGGCTTGGGTGTACTGGTGGAGAGTGTTCAGCCCTCGTTGAAGTATATCTTGATGTTGAGTGTGGTCCAGATGGGTGGCCCAGAGCGTCACATCGTCATCGTAGATTAGAAACTTGAGGTGTTTGTGTTGTGCCAATTTCCATGCGCGTTGGATGAATGCAATATTAAAGAGAATGGGCGCGAGGGCAGAGCCTTGGGGCACCCCACAGTTAGCGGTAAAGGGAACAGAATTTTCCTTTGCCACTCGCACCGAGAAGGTGCGGTTGGTCAAGAAGTTGTGGATGGCCTTAATAATCCCATGTGGGAACTGTAAGTTGACCATAGCATCTAAGATGGCGGCATGATGAATATTATCGTACGCCTTCGAGATGTCGGTTGCCACAATGCTGCGGATCCATTGGATGCGTCCCGGCACCTTTGTGATGTCTTGGGCCAGTCGATGTAGGCCGTCCTCTGCACCCACCAGCTGTCGGAAGCCAATTTGAGATTCATGGTAGAGTCCTTTCGTTTCAAGCCACCAGTTGATGCGTGAGGCTAGGATGCGCTTGTATATTTTACATATGGTAGGCGTGAGCGATATGGGGCGTAAAGCTGTGAGGTCTTTAGCTGGTTTGTAGATACGCCAGCTGAACGGAGGAAGAAAAATGCAAAAACAAAGAGTCGCAAGGAACATACACACGCACGAATAACCAACCTGCTCAGCTTCAGGCAATCACAGCGTGTCTTTAGCTGCTTTCCCGGATTTAGGGATCGGAACAATGATAGCATGCTTCCACTCCTGTGGGATTTCCCCATCCGTCCATACTTCATTTAGGACCCCTAAGAGGTTGTCCACCGCCGGCCCCTCAAGGTTCTTGAACACTTCATAAGTGATACCATCATGTCCCGGGGCGGATTTCTTCTTAGTTGCCTCGATTGCAGCGATGAGCTCGGCCTTGGTAATTAGTGATGTTATGCCGCAGTCATCCACAGCGTAGGAAGCCGGGCATGTGGTTGCGGGGCTATCATGTTGTGGGAAAAAGGCCATGGCCGCATGCCTGGCGAAATTCTCGTTGGATAATCCCATGGCCAGTTGTATGTTGCACGGCCGAGGAGTGGCAGCCTTGTTGGTTTCCAAGGCATGGTATGTGCGCCAGAGTTTCTTAGAGGAAGTGGAAGAGCCAAAGGATTCACACCAGCCTCTCCATCGTTGACCGCTCAGTTGCGTCTCATACTTGTTTGCTTCAGCAGCTAAGCGATTCACCTCCCACTGAAGCTGCTCGTTGTGAGGAAGTGAGCGGGCTTGGAGTTCCGCCTGCTTACGTTGGTCCCAGAGACGAATGAGGTGAAGATCCGGATTTGGCTGATCTTGATTCACTGTTTGTTCGGTGGTATGCTTATGCACAACTTGTTTGAGTTCCAACATAATGGAGTCCGCCGTGGCACCTTCTAAGGTGGTAGAGGTTCGAAGCTCCGTCCAGTTAATCACTTTAGTCATACGGCGCTGTTTCTTGACTAGATGATGGCCCGGTGAATGTGAATAGGCGTGTGATCACTGCCCCAACAGTCCGGTTCCGCTGTCCATCTGGGAAGGCCATGTCCCTGCCACCATGTAAGATCCGGTGTATTAGGAGCCGTGATCGGACGAGTGGAGACGGGGGCCTCGTTCAGCAGGACGTAAGATGAGTCCCTGAAGCGGCTGTACACCTGTCGGCCTCGACCAGAGTCATTGGCGTAACCCCAGCTTGTGTGCGGGGCATTGAAGTCGCCACCCACCAGAACTGGCACATGTAGGTATCGCTGACAGAGATGTTGGATCCAGCCGAAGTTAAGCCGTGCACTCCCGGGTTTTCCGTACAATGACACCAAGATCACCTTAATTTGCTTCCGTCGGACAAGGACGGCTACCACCTCCTGTCGTTGTGTGCACCACTGTGACGTATCAATCTGCTCTTGTGGAATATCAGTACGGACGTAAATCGCCGCCTTGCCAGGAGCAGTGTCGTCTATTCCAAAGCGCCTGTCAATAATGGAGGGACAGTGATACCCCGTGAATTGATAGAGGTTGGGCAGACCGTGTGTTTCTTGGAGGAGGAATGCCCAGGGCTTGATGATGCCATACTGCATACGAAAGAGAAGCTCGTTGCGCCTGGCAGCGAGGCCTCTGCAGTTCCACTGCAGCACGGTACCTATGGCGATTTTACTCCACAACGTCGTGGGGAGCCTTTCAGGTGTTGGTATATGGCCATGAGAAGCTGGTGGGTTGTCATTTGGACATCCTGAGTGTCGTCGTCAGCACTGAAGTCGTGTTCCTGGCTCTCCCGAGGTCGAGCTGGGGCTATCCGTAGTTGTTGTCGCCTGGCCTGTAGTTGTTGTAGGACCTCCTGACTTCTGGCGATGTCCCGTGTAAGGCGCTCAATTTGTTGATCAATCTCCGTAGCCGAGGTTTCCTGAGCGGGGGCTCTCTGCATCCGGCGTTGTGACTGCCGTTTGGATTTCACGGTCGCATTTGCGTAGGACAGCGTTGGGAAGTCCCCCCCTTCGTCGGCATCTCCCGGATCAACATCCAGTAAGGGCAGGAACCTATTCTTCGTCGGCAACTGCCTATCCAGCAGCCGGTTTTGTTGGCGGGAGCGCAGTGTCGCCTGTCGCTTGCGGGGGCAGTTGGGAGACGTGATATGATGGTCATCTGTTTTACATAGACCACATTGATACCGGGGTTGACCGTCCTGTGTGACTAGGTCTGTGTTGGGTTTGGCCTGTGGGCAGTAAGTCTGCATATGCCCTAATTGACAGCACTTGTAGCATACGATCGCCTTCGGCCGATAGGGCCGGGGGCGGAAAATACCCCCACAGTAGTAAACAATGTCCGGAATGTCCTGGGGGCCCTGTAGCATGAGCAGGTACGTGTCTCGCTTGCCCAGACGGCGCGCAGCTATGGCTTTGTGGGACGAGCAGTGAAGATCCGATAGGATGTTCTCACTTGGGTCTTCTGGTTGTAGGCGATAGACCACACATCTTGTAATATCAGGGCCCGATGCCAGATATGCTTGTACCGGGAGCTGCTTTTTCTCGGACAGTGGCAGCGCCGAGAGTTGGCACATCCGCACAGCGTCCTCCAGCGTTGCGACATGCAGCGTGATGGAGTTCGACGGTCGGTGCACTTCGTAGCCCCGATATCCCGTTGTTTGTAAGCCTTGATTAGTAACCGTTTGCAGCACCTTACCCGGCACCTGTGTCATGTCGAACGGCTCTTGTGGCCGGACGTTGACTCGGTAGGATAAGGCCGGCGACGGTGTGCGGTAGACCTGCAGCGGCGGCGAGTGTCGCTGTGCTGGGGACCCGGCGCCCGTCGGCGAGGCATAACCATTTGGCGTTAACGTAGAGCCAGCTGCAGCTGACTCATCCGAATCGGCTTGCGATACCTCCATGGCGGGATAGACGGCGTCGTTGGCGCTAAAGTTCCCGGCGGCGCTGGGTCCTGCCGCCGCAACGTTCACATCGGCCACGCTAGGCCTACTCTCCAGACCGGATTCAGAACCCTCCTCGGAGGTAGAAAAGGCCGATCCGCCGGAGCACGACTTGAGCTTACGTGAGTCCGGAGGGTCTTTACCGTTCTTCCTGACGTCTTCAATGTCGTAAGGGTGATACGCCGGAGTTTTCGATCCAAAAACACAGAGCTC